GCATCTTTGCAGGCATCCAGTCTTTACACCAGAGGGTCTCTTCTGTTGTCTGTTCATTTCTTAACAGGATGCTTGAACTATATTTATTTAATTTATTCTTTTCAAAAGCTGAAATAATCCGTGAACCACACTCATTGTCTGTCCCAGAATATTTGCTCGGGGCCTGCCTTGCACTTACTGGCCACTGGATACCTGGAGCTGCAGCCTCTTTCTTGGATGGTGGCTGCTTGGCCATCAAATGAAGCCACCTTGTGTTGCTTGATTGCAGATACACCATGGCCTTATCGGTACTGGCGTGAAGGCAGACCCTGGGGCTTGACACAGCTCAAGTCATTAATACCTTGTTTGGATCTGCCATGTTTCAGGGAACAGCTGGGTAGTGTTTGGTTCTATGACAATTGCTAAACCCTGACTACACCTGGGGGCCAGCAGCTGGACAGGTAGGCAGTGAGAGGAGAGCTGTCCTCTGTTTTCCTCCCTCAGATATGTGCTGCAGCCATGGCATAGCCCAGGGCATTACCCACCACCTCCTTGCTAGGATATGTGTGGCCTCTGAGTCCCAGAGTGTGTGGGGAGCTGAGTGGTCATGTTGAGGTCACCCAGGCCCTGTTGTCCCAGGCCCTGCCCTGTCCTCCAGCTCAGAACGGAAGCCCTATGTCAGAATTTACACCAGGTGTTCTTGGCAACTTGCTGTAAGTTTTGACCCTCAGAATCTGTTGATTTTTCTCTGCATAACAATCCTGGCTGTCCTGAAACTCACTTCATAGGACAGGCTGGCCTCTCACTCACAGAGTGTGCCTGCCTCCGAGACCCTTAAGAACCACACCCAGAAAACCTTTGTTCAAGAATTGTTTCAGTGAGGATTTAAGCCTCTTAAGGGAAGTAGCAGCAGGCTCGCAGGCTCCCAAGCTCCCAAGCTCTTCAAACACCTCAGCCTCCCCTGGCCTTGGGGCCTCCCATGCTAATGAATATTGCTGGCACTTGACAGTCTGTGTTGTCTGATTAGCCCAGTATAAACTTCACTACACCTGCTTGCCCAGACCTTGCCCAGAGGCTGGCTTAGGGCAACAGAGAAGGATAGGGGGCTCCCTGGCAGAGGTGCAGCAGACCCTGCCTTGTGTCTGCACAGAAGTCCCAGCCAGGGAGTTGAGCGTCACCAGGGGGTCTGGGCTAGCACAGGGTCCGCCAGGAGAGCCTGCCTCCATCCCTTCTGGAACAGCACAGCTGTCTGGAGCTGCCAGCTAGAGGCAGGCACCAATCCTCCAGCTCCTTCAGCCGGCATTTTGGGGATACCCTCTGGGTGTGTGGTACTGAGTTAGCACTGCCAGTCCTGCCTGGCTTGCTCTTGTGGCCAGCACAGAAGTTCTCCCCATTGTGCCTCAGTTAGAGGTTTTGCCCTGTCAGCATCCACAGTGTCCCCTAGAGATCAGGGCAGTCATTCTCTGAAGGGGCCAGAGCCCCAAGCACCTCCTTTGGGATGGCCTTGCAGTGCATGTTAGGAGAGAAGTCCCTGTAGGCTTAACCCAGTACTGCTATGCTGGGGGAAGGAGCCTTGTGCTGTCTTCCACTTGGGGACTGTTGACTTCATCTTGTTAGCTGGGGCTCTCCAGAGCAGGGCATGTCCTGAGTGATGTGTTGGCCAGCTGTTGTCTGGTGGCTCTGGGACCATCTCTCCTCCCCGGCTCCCATATTCCTCCCAGTTCCTTGGACCTGAGGTGTCCCCCCCCAGCCCTTTTCACCCCCCTTGGTGAAAATCACCATTCCCACAGAGCCCTTCAGGACACCCTCAGGTGAAGCACTCCAGCTTCACGGGTAACTGCCCAAAGGTTTCTGGTCCAGGATGCTCTGCCCGTGGCCTTGAATGCTTGATGCTGGGGCCAGCTCTTCTATAAGGGCAGTATGTCTTCACAGAAGGCTCTGATGCTCTCGTGTACCTTGGTGCTCAGTATGGATGGGATTTAATGAGAGGGAAGTTTGGGGCCTCATGCTGGCAAGTTTATCTTCATGGGTGTTTTTTATGAGTCGTCCCTGTGGCTGAGAGGACCTGAGGGCAGGGAGGTGAACTCGGGAAAGCTGGCACTTCAGGGTGGGTCTTAAGACATGGTGCTTAGGTCCTTGGAGCCTGCAGGGCTTGCTGCCCCTGTGTTGTACTGTGACCTACATGTCTTCTTGCTCTTCCTGGGCTGCTACACTAGATAAGGCCAGAGAGGCCAGCTGCAGCCTTGATCCATTACTTAAACGCTTTTCGGAGCAGACTAACACTAACTTGGAGCTGGGAAAGTGGTGATATCTAGGGGTCATGGTCGCTAAAATATCAGGTAGTGGGAGGAAAGGTATGTAGTTGGGTATGTAGTTGGGTGCCAGATCCCAGGTCTAAGGGTCATTGTGTCTGGGCTGTGTTTAGTGACACGGCCCTTGAGGAGCGCATCTGTGGTCTTCTCCACCACTTCTCATGCCTTAGAGGTTCTGTGTGGGAAGCAGGTGAGTGGCTCACATAGCATTGGCCTTCCTGCCCAAACTGCCTGTGCTGTATGTTGCTCATGGAGGGTAATTTGGAGCTTCTTGTGCCTCAAGGCCCAGTCCTCTTCAGGTCAGAGACTATAGGGCCATCTCTAGTGCCTTTCCGGGGACCAGTGTCTAGCTTGTGCTTCCAGCCCCAGACACTACCCAAAGCATCTTTCTCTTTAAGTCTGTTGTGCCTTCCTGTTGGGCTGTGGACACTCACTCACAGTGTTGGGGAGAGGTGGGAATAACACGGGTGTGTGGGTCATGTACATATGAGCTCACATGGAGTGATGTTGATTTCAAGATTACAGTGATTTGGTGCATATTAAATGGGAATTAAAAATCCAAAGACCCTGTAATGAATAGTAAAGATGATGATTTATGTTGTACGAAGAACCAAACTACTGTAATTTTGTACCATAAATGCCTTTCCATCAAGTGACCAACAGCTTCTAAATAAAGCCAGTGGTTTCTTGCTTATGTCTGAGGTCAGTCCTAACTCTTCTTCCCTACCCTTACCTTGGGCTTCGGCTCACTGTGTTATCTCTTGGTGGTGGTCCTAGGGGCTTTTCAAGATGGATGATAGGAGTTCAGAGCAGCAGGCCCCCAGACACAAACTTCTGTGGCCCACAGGTTTGGACCAGAGACCCCAGGAAGCCCCATTGGCATCTTGGCCTGTCTCCAGTCCCTCACTCCCATCAGCCCCTTGTAACCAGGTGTGTGTGTGTGTGTGTGTGTGTGTGGAGAAAGAGAGAGAGAGAGAGAGAGAGAGAGCGAGAGAGAGCGAGAGAGAGAGAGAGAGAGAGAGAGAGAGAGAGAGAGAGAGAGAGAGAGAGAGAGAGAGAGAATCTCCTGCTTTCAGGCAGGGGTTTCACCATCTGCTTCAGCCTCTGAGATAGGCCCCACTATGGACTCAACTAGAGAGCAAAAAGCCTTTCTCCTGCTGCAGAGATAAGACATACCCTGGGCAGGTGTTTTAGGAAGAGGCATAAATTAGGGCTGTGGAATCAGACTTTAGGTTGCCCTTCCTGGTTTGTGATAGGGAAGAGACCAGGCCTCCTTTGCTTCCCCTGGAGCCTCACTCTCAGCCACCCTGTCACAGCAAAGCACCATTTTCAGGATACAGGACTTGCATTCTTCTGCCCATGTCTCATAAATAGAATAGCCTGGGAATGCAGGGTCAAGGCCACCTGGAGGCCCAAGGGAGAATGGCCATGAGCCACAGGCAGCTTCTGTCTGCATAGAACTTGTTTGTATTCCCAAGTGCAGCAGACTTATTCTCAGAGATAAGTTCTACCAAGCAGGGACAGACAGAAGTGTGGCAGCCAGGGGCAACCCCATGAGAAATGAGGCAGGATTCTGAATGGAACTGATCCAGCCCGGGGGTGGGGTGGATACATCATCTTTTCCAGGCTGCTGTTACCTGGCAGCTCTGGGATGTGTCTAGTCTGTACCAAGCCCTGGCATGGGCTCTAGTGGGAGTCACACTTGGTTCACTCTTTGCTTACCAAATTACTCAAGGACTGTGTGCACTGATCCTGAATTTGGAGTGGCACCAGCACCAGGGCCTGGAGGAACCGAGGAAATGCAGAGAGGATGAGGTACCCCAGGGAGATGCTTAGTCATGGAGTGCATGTGCCCAGCCTGAGGAGACCAGGGCTTAAGTTGAAATAGTTTGGGGCCAAACCATGCAGAGGGACATGTAGGGAGGGACAGACAGCTCAGTGTCCTGATCTCCTGAGCTATGTGCGCTGCCAGACTCCAGATGACAGTTTCAGAGTCTGCAGCCCTCTGTACTCCATACCAGGAATGGAGAACGGTTGTCTCAAGTCTTCTAAGAGAGGGGAGGGTCAGTGGATCTGTGCCCGTGCCCGTGGGAAAGGGAAGGCTGGAATCTGGCCCTTGCTCTGCTCACCACTGAAAACCAGAACAGAGAACAAAGCTGGTGCTCCAGATACAGCTTTCGGGGCCAGCTCCTTTAAGAGGCTCAGGGTGGGGCTGGCTGCAACAGGAAATGGAGAGATCAAAAAGCAACAGCACCTAAAGCATGGCTGTGATCCTGGGGGCGGAGGCTTTCTGGGTGCCCCTCCCCAAACACAGGCACACACTGGGAATGTACCACTGGGGTTGGGGGTTTGGGGACTCCTAAAAGATCCTTTAGGGTGATCATGGGGAACAGGTCAGAAGGTGGTGGCAGGGGTTCTCCGCTTCGCTTCGGCTTTGGTACTATGATCTCCCAGCTCCTGGTCCCTCTGGAAAGTGAAAGGCAGAGCTGGGGGGGGGGGCGGGCAGGGCACTTGCCTGGAATGTGAGAGGCCTTATGTTTGATCCCCAGAACTGGGAAAACAACAAAAAACACCAAAAAAAACAAGACCCTAAAAATGCACAAGGGAAGAATCATAGAACAGACACCTGCACCCCCTTTAGCCAACCAGGCACAGTGCTCCCGCCTCCATTAAATATTCAGATCCAAAGAAATCCCGGACAGCCTTTGCTCAGTTATACATTTTATTCTCTAATAGGTACAATACTAAAATAAACACAAATTAAAAAAAAGTTTTATTAAAACAAAACTGTACAAAAAAGCAGTATACTACATTTTAATTACAGAACAGTCTACTGTCCAAAAGGCACTAATCCAGAATAGGAGATACAATGAAACAGGACTCATTGGAACTATTTATCAATACAGTAGAGCACTTGTTTCTTTGACCATTTACATCTAGAAACAAGGGCTTCTTGCTACAGTCATCACACACTGTTATTATCCGAGTCCTACTGGGAAGGTGCAGTATCACTTCCTAGAGCAGGCTCCACCAGGGGCCCAGGAGGGGGCTGGGGACCTGGGCAGAGGTGGGCACCCACGCTTGCCTTGGCCTCTGATGGGTTGGTTCTGGTCATTACTGGCAGCCACTCTAAACCCTCTCCTGTTTAGCACCGGCAAAGTGGGTTCTGAGATGCTCCAGGTCAAGGACAGGAGGTCTGGTGACAGCTCCAAGAGGGGAGGCATCTGGTAACCTTGTCTGAAAAGGCAGCAGCTACCTGGAAGGGGGGCAAGGCCCAGTGACAGCCAGGGGGCTGGGTGCTATGCCAGGCAGAGCCTCCCCTAGCTTCTCGGGTCTGTGAGTATGCAGTGATCTCATCTGGGAAATTGGTTTCTAGAAGGGGAGTTTGCTTCCCAGAGACAAGTCAGAATGCCATGCCTGGCCTCAGGGTGCAAGCCACTTCCCTCCCTCAGGGCCACCTCTGGCACCTGAGGGGCATGATAGGAGTCAAGCCCTGCTCCCCTCTCTGCTGGGTGGCCAAGACACCTCATTGAGTCCCAGCTTTATCATCACAGACTCTGACCTGAAGGAGGATACTGCAGCTTTCCAAACAGTGTCATACACAGAGAAGACGACGAAGACAGGCATCTGATGTTAACAAAAATAAGTAACAAAGAAATGGGATTAAACCAAATCTCTTCTCACAGCGCCCTATACTACACCCTCCTTCTGCTTAGCAGAAAATTGTACGTACACAAAAATACAAGTACACAATTTTGTAGAACAGTCTGGTTTTAATATATTTATATATATTTATATTTATACGAGTGGCAGGTTAGTTCATTATATAGAGCTTTTTGCACTTTTGGCTCATATGCAACAAGGCTTATAAATTCAGCTTTAGCTTTCATTCAGATTTTATAGCTTTTGAACAATTTTTTCACATTTAAAGCAGCATCCAATTTGCACTAGGAGTCTGTGGTGATTACGGGGAAAGATGGGGTCAGGAGGTTATGGGGGTGGGACGGTATACATTCCAGTGTGTGTGGCATGTAAGGAGGATTCCATGTGGACAGAGCTTGCCATGATGACCCCTTGAGGTAGACTGAACACCTTACAGCAGACTCAGACATAGGTGTGACACCCTCAGGGACACATGGCACACAAGATGGGGACAGAGACCAAAGGGAAACACACAGAAACTAAGACAATGGCCAAGGCCAGGAGGGCGCTCTGCCCCTCCCCCACTCATCTGGCATCATGCTGAATACCTGCAGGCAACCTCCAGACATCTGGTCCCTGGTGTCTGGTCAAAACACAGACGGACGCCTGCTTTCCGCTTCCCAGCTGGCCATGCCAGCTTGTTCCCAGCCCCACAGTGAACTACACAAGCTGTGCTCCAGCAGGAGTGGCTGCTACTCTTTAGCATTCAGCTCTTGCTAGAATGTTCAAGTCCATTCAGGGCCCAGAACCCCGGCCCTCTTGATGCTCTTGACTCAGAGCTGGCCTCCCTCTATCATGCATCTGGTTGACACTCCTCAGTGACACCGGGCCTGACAGGTGCTTGGTAGACCATGGATGCTGCATCTAGAGCAAAGCTAACAACACTCCCCAGGGGCAGCATGGTTTGCATGCTCCATGTAGCCTCATTTTCACCACCACTTGGCCACTCACCCACAGCTTTCTTTCCCTTCTCTAGGTGAGGCAGTTTTACTGGCAAGGTCATCCATGCCTGTTTCATGCAAATTCCCAGTGCTTGCACTACTTACTCCATCTGAGCAAAAGAAATCTTGGGTTATTAATGAAAACAAGGTGCCTGTATATGGACTGTTCCTTTCCCACTCATCACTTGTGTGTTATGCCGACAGAGCACAGCACAGTCACTAGTCTGTCCTATACCCCCATATAAATAAAGGCCTGAATCTAGTTGACTTAAATTATTTTCATAATGGAAAACTCATCTTTTTAAATGCACATTGGATCTTATTACAACTCTACCGATGATGGCCCTTGGCTCCTGGCTCCCTGGTATCTGGGCTGTAGATGCAGCCAGGGTTCCAGTACTCATGATGGCAAAAGGGCACAGGTGTATCAGCCACGATCCCTGCCTGCCAGCCCTCAGAGTGGAAATGTCCCTCATGTGCTGACAGAATTCTGCTCAGAGCCGGTCTCATTCCTGCTTCTAAGCTCAGTAGCCACTCCACTCAGCTCTAGCTAAGTAGACTCCTTAAAACTCCCTACAATCCAAGACCACAATCACATCAATGGAAGGAACATAGGAAACAGCGACAAAGCCAGCCCTCTCCCCTTGCTTGTCCTTTTGACCATTCTGCCTGCAGAACGGCAGGGGCATTGGGTGGGTGGGGGTGCACAATGCCCACCCTGAGGTGGGGTGCATGGTGGGAAGGACAGGGCAGGACAGGACAGGGCACAGGCCAACTCTCGGGCAGGTCCCAGAGGTTTTTAACTTGCTTAGGCACTTAAACATAAATGGGAATTTTATCCTGGAAGGTACTGTAGACTCGAGATAACCATGGCCATGGAGGGGAGACTGAGCCTATGATCTCAGAGCAGGCTGTAGGATCTTCCCAGGAGAGGCAACTGCCACACTCTTGGCATCTTCCAGCAGAGAGTGTGCTGCCTTGCAGCCAGGGAAGTTATGTGCTGGCTCGGGCCAGTTTGGTCACTGTGGTCCCTGATTGGTACCCGATGAGGTGCAGGCTACCCTGACACCCTGTTCAGGGTCACTGTGAGAAACACTGAGAGAAGAAGGGAGCTTTCATAGTGGTGGTGTGGTAGAACCAAAGAGCAGGAAGGAGAAAGCTTGCCAGAATGGCCAGTGCTTGGAAAGAAAAAGCTCTACCCACCCCGAGAACTTTGGTTTTGTTTTTCTGATGCCCATTTTCAGAGATGCGAGATGAGGTCCCCACAGATTTCAATACAGTCAACGTGGACATCAAGGCAAATGATAAGGGGATTGCTTTCTGAAAGCAGCCACAAGCACTCACCCTCACTCAGCACACGGGACTCACACAGGCACCTCCCTGCCTGCAGACAGGGCACAGAAGAAAAGCAGCAGAGTGGCTGCTGTCTGCGTTCATACAACTCTAATGCCATTTGGTTTTCTAGTCTAATGGCCTCAGAGAGCCATGGAATGGACAGACAGCCTCACAGGTTTAGGCTGGGCTCTTAGTTCCAGTAAAGCAAAATGGGAGGGGTTTCCTGGGCTCTGGAAGGTACAAAAACAAGACTGGAGAGAGTCGACCTGGAAGCACTGGGAAGTTAAATCATGGAGGGAGCAACGAACCTTTGGCCACCAACAGAGAAGCAAAATCTTGATCCTACCAAAAATGAAAGGCACACATACTCTTTCTCTCCAGATCAAGGTGTTTCAGGGCAGAGTGAGGACAGTGTTAAGACCACACAGGGCAGCTAGTGTAACAAGGTGTCAGCAGCCCCAGGAGACAGCCTGCTTGGGTCCTTCAGCCTTGTTGTTCCTTGACTACTTTTACTCTTGGGCTTTAAGGCTACCCATGATGTGACAGATCAGAAGAGGACAGTGGACCCAGCCAACTCTTGGAGAACCTAATTTTGTGAAAAAGAGCTAGAAAAGAAGGTGGGGAGAGGAGCATAGCAGGTTATCTTGAAGATGTCCCTTGTTTGGTGTCTGACCAATAGTCACTAAGCCTGCACGTGACCCTGAGGCACCGTGCTCTGTTCCTGGATTCTGGATATTAAGAAGTTCTTATTCTAGGCCTAAATTCGGGTGTCTTCAGGCATTTACTTATGGGCCAGTCAGTGTTGACAAGGAGCCAAGGCCATGGTAGGGTGGCACTACCAACCATGAACATACCAGAACACTAGAACCTTGGATTCCACAATGCCCTTAACTTCTTTTCTGATTGTGGTAGAGGGACATCATGGTTGGTGCACTCAAGAGATAACATTAGGGACTTCTAGTTGGATGCCAATTCTGTTCCCCCAAATGCTCACAGGCAATTGTATTGTTATGCTGCTGTGCAGGACTTAGCGTACAAATCACAAAAGTAGCTCACTAGTGACTTTTCAGAATGGAATCAGAAGGCAGTGAAACCGAAACTCTAACGGAGATAGCTATGCTCAACAGCTGGGAAAGTTAGACAGGGTTAAAAATCTGCTGTCTCAGCAAGCCCACAGGTCTCAGGGATCATACCTCTGACCTGCAGGCTGGGGGAAGGGGCCACAAGGTGACTTTTACAGAATGGCCACTCTTCCAGGACACTTGCAATGCATCTCACTGAAAGTATTTGGGAGGAATCCCACCCAAAGCATCTCCAGGAATAGAATCTTTTCCTCACCTGTGTGTGTGTGCGCTGAGGGAAGAGCGCTCTCTAGACCCTTCTAGACAAGTACTTGATCTCAGCCATTCCACATGATACAGCTAAAGCCAAAATCTTGGTTGACTAGTGTTCTGGGTGAGAGGGGACACAGTCTGTAGAATGGGTGAAGACACGTACATGGCTACCAACCAAACCTGCAGTGTCCAGCCTGAAAAAGGACAGGGCTCGTGGACTCCAGCTAATCTCACCTAAGTCTTGAGCCCCACAGGCAGGAAAGGGCTTACAAAAGGCCACTTAGCATGGGTCCACTGCTGGCATATTCCTGTGGACCCTTCTGATTCTCTAACTGAATCCAGGCTCCTGCAAAGGATGGCTAGAAAGAAAAAAAGTCAAAACTAAGCATCAGCTGGAGGACCAGCGAGTGCCTACAGTTCCTAGCTGTGGGGACGCCACAGGCTTCGAGGACAGCATGATGCCTGAAGGCATAGGTGCACAAAGGAAAACAAAGTGGGGGACAGAGAGCATGGCTTCAGAAGACAGCAGAATGGCACTAGGGGGCATACTAGCCAAACAAGCCTGATATGAGCAAGCAGGGGTGTGCAGACACATCCTGGGGCCCAAGTCCACACATTCATGTGTCAGGCTGACTGGTCCCTGTTCTTGTCACATTGTTTATTCTGGGCCTCACAGTCCCATAAGGAAACCACTACTCAACTCTGTAAACTTCCGTGTGGCGAATACTTCCTGATGGTCATGGCAGTGGAAATAATCAAGTTTCCAAGGAAAAGCCTCAAAATCCCAGGAAGTCCAGTAAATTAGAAGGTATCCCCAGAGGGAGGCACTCTAGCTGCTAGCGGGAGGATAGGTCCTGGAGGCTGCTTCAGTTTGCTGACTAGTTTCCGGCCAAAGTAGAACAGGTTCAAGCTGGACACGAGGTTTCAGGGAATTTGGATGTCAGGTGCAGGCAGTAAGCAATCCATTGTGGACCTGAAATGATTCCCGGTCCTCGCTCACTTGGGTGGGACACAAATCCTATGTCATTATTTTGGTTTACTGAGCTGTTGTTCTAAATGTTCTTGGGAGCATTAGTGCTCAAAGGGAACAAGCATGGGTGCCCTGCTATTCTCAATCACATAAAGGACAGAAATCCTCTTAATTATGACCATGCCAATCCACATCCTGCTAAAACAACTAATTACATGTCAGAAGGACACTCAGTCATTCGGAACAATTGCCATTATACTTTTATATATTCATTCTATGCCACCCCCCTCAATTACCATGGTTACAATTTGAAAAAAAGATCCAGCCAAACCTTCATTTGATCACAGTACACCATCATGAATTTGCGAGTTAATTATGGCTGTACGGAGCCAGTCTTATTTAAAGCTAGAGAAGACGGACATGGAGTCAGGGGAGCTGGCCTCTTGAGTGTTATAAGTGGGGCACCAGGTTCCTCAACAACAGTGCTTGGAGCTGCACAGCCTGAAGACTGGCCACAGAAAGGGTTTGTCAGTCAAGGATGGAAGCAAAGTTCCCCTGCTACCTGACAAGGGCTAGAGTTAGAGGGTGGGAGGGGCAGGAGGGAACTCCACCAAAAGAAGGAGGCTATCACATCTCAGCTGGATGGACCCAACTAGACTTAGTTCTGACTGGATGTCAAGAATGATAAAGCAGCTTGGGGACATACATCTGGACTCTCAAGGCAACCACCCTGGTGATAAGATGACAGTGACAGCTGAACCTTCCCTCGGTCTCATCTTCTCTTGGTTAAAGAAGAAAACCAGTGTTGTGGAGGTATGGGTGGCTCAGGTTGCTAGCTGATTTCTCTGATTTTTTTTCTTACCACCCCCAGCCACCAAGATAGTGTAATGAAGTAGCGACACAAACCTCTCAATGTTCAGTCTTCAGCTTCTAACAGTCCATAGATAAGCACAAGGCTTCATTTCCCAGCATCTGTCAGTCCTGTAAGCTGCCATGAGGAGTAGTGTCTCCCCTTCAGTTTAGAAACAAACCGTTCTGAGAAAAGCCTTTTGGAACACACTCTGTAAGACAGGAGCTTTTGCAACCAGAACACTGGTCTGATGATGTGACAGGTCTCAAAGCCTTCCCTACTGCCTTTGTATGTCAGCTCTCTGGTGCAATAAGGAAATCGCTCTTCTTAAGTGATGCCATCTTTGAAATGGAGGGTGTGTGATGAAGGACAGGCCCCTGTTCTGAGCACATGCTACCATGACAGTCTTAGAAAGCGGCTGGCCATCCATGGTTGCTGACCCTACAAAGCCACACAGCTGTCCTGGTGCTCACTGTTACAGTCATAACACACGCTACAGAGACAAATGATAAAGGGTCTTTGGAGCTTATAGCTCAGTTTGCTAAATTCAGTATGGCTGACAACCGGTGGCCCAATCCTGAGTAAGGATACTTGCATACGCACGACACATTCGAGCACATACAAAGGAGGAAATGCTGTGCATGTGTGATTCTACCCCGGCCCCGGTGCATCTCCACCCAACTCCCACTCAAACACACGCACAGCTGAACTGGTGGACGTGTCCAACCTTCACTTGGGAAATCTTAAAAAATAAGTTTGGCTCAGTAAAGCTGTAAGTGGATTTGGCTGGTCTCAGTACAGCCTCAGTGAATACAGTAGTAAAACATAGCTGACAATCATAGTAACAGGTGATGTCACAGAGATGGACAGAGACTGATGCACTGCAGGAGACAGAGAGCCACTGAGCACAAGACCACTGACCATAAGAAAAGTTATTGCCTAAGAACTTGGTGAGGCTCATGGGAAAAGTTCAGGCTGCTGTTTTCTTAACAAGAGAGCAAAAGCAGTTTAACAGTAGAGTTGTGTTAAACGGGAATGTCACTTTTAATCTCAGCACTCCAGAGGCAGAGGTTGGCAAGTCTAAGTTTGAGGCCAGCCTGTCTACAGTGAGTAGACCAGGACAGCAGGGCTACACAGAGAAACCCTGTCTCAAAAAAAACAAAAACAAAAACAAAAAACAAAACAAAACAAAAGGGTGGGGTGTGGGGTGTGGGGTGTGATTCTGCTTCTAGCCAAATCCCTTTTGGGACCAGGGAGAGTAAGGACTTGAAGAGAAAACTTTTAGAACAGGCTAGAGACGTCATTATGGAAAGGGGAATTATTCTCAGAGTGTAGACAAAGGTAATAGGCTTGGCAGATGGAGTTTCAGCTATCCAAAACAGGAAGGAGGGTCCAAGTTCAGAGGTGGACTAACGCTACCCATTGAGATGAGGGCAGATGAGAGAAAACATCTCAAGACAGAGATGCAGTGCTGAAACACAAAGTGGAAGGAAAAGGAGCCATGCAGAGTCAGAAAGAGTGATGGGAGCATCCTGATGGACTAGGGTCTGCTAGCACTGGTGCCTGACAACGGGTATCCAAGAAGAGTTTAAAGCAAGAATTCCTAAAGCTAGAGAGCTGAGACAACGGTATCAGAGCTCTGTGTGCTATCCCCATAAGGTAAAAATAAATGCCAATACCTGCTCCAAAAAGACAAAAACAAAAACAGGTGTGGCTGAATGATAAACCTCCCAGGAACTAGAGCTCTGGAGTGAAATACAGTAGTCCAAACAGGCTTCCAACTCACTCATGTCTTTCTAAGGACACCTACTGAGTTGGAGTAAAAGAAACCATGGGGCTGTCCATTTCCCATGCCAGGTACCCTCCTCCTGTAGTCTGCCTTATTCATGTACTATTATTCAACACAAACTTGGCTGCCGTGCATCATGTCTCCTGGGTTCTGAGGGCACTGCATAGTCACACACAGGAGAGCACTGTATTGCCTTTCCTGGCTGCTCAGCTGCTGGCTGCGATTGTCTTCAGAAAGGCAGGAATATCTTAAGATGGTTCTTTGTTAACAGGTCATCATATAAGGTACTAGAAGGTGGGAAGCTACCTTCCTATCCAGCAACAGTAACTCAAAGTACTTGAAAAAAAACCAACAAAATCACAGTACACTTTAGGAATGTCTGCTCCCCTCCCTCATCGCTTTTAGCATCTTCATTGGTCAGGAAGGCACAACCCCTGAAAGAGATCTCTAGGCCCACAGAAGTACAGAAGGAGGTAAGAGCAGAGACCAGCAAGCAAGGAGCACATCGGATGAGTCTAGGAGCCAGGCTCTTTTTCCTTTCAGCATGGGAAGTTTAAGTTTCTAATTTAATAACATACCTGGAAAAGCTTAAGGAAAGCTTTACTGTCCAAAGGAAGCGGAATAAACGTGGCAGGTCTGAAGCCATTCCAAGAACTCAGGGACCACGACACAAAAGTAGACTCTGACCTGGTGACCCCCAGAAAACTACCTGATGGTAGATTTGAACCTTGATCCCCAAGAAGCAAATTCCTAGTGTGGGTCAGATAGCACAGGCTCCATGTAAGGCTGTGAGTCCGTGGGCACGTGGCAGCATCTCCAGCAGAAGGACTAGTGAACAGACCTTCCAGATAGCTCAGCAGAGCCGGCCTCTGTGGCAGCTGTGCTCTTCCAGTGCCACCAAACTGCTACAGAGCTCGCACTGCCTGTACCAGCCATAGCTCGGTACCCTCTGCTGCGTTTCTCTCTCTCAAAGGGAGGTCTTAGGACAACAGAACATTTTGCTTTTCTGTTGCAGCCAGAGTTCCCTTAGAAACTTGAGCTGTCTTAACAGCCGGAGTCTGTTCCTTCAAAAAGGCAAGCGAGAACAAATGACAAGAGCAATGGCACCATAAAGAAGTTGTCAATTATAATAATCTCATGGTAAATCATGGATGTGGCTTGTCACAGAAATATGGTCCCCCACCTCCTGTTCTTCTAATTCAACTGAGAATAAGCAGATAAAAGTCGACCAAAATGGCAAGACACAATAGGTATATTTCTTCTTAGTAAACAAAAGGAAAGACAACGCAATCTCAAAAGTGAAATTAAAAAAAAAGAACCAAATAAACAAATAAACCATTGAAGATTCTAAATAGGTGTGTGTGTGGGGGGGGCTCGTTCCTGAGAATAAGAAATGCTACTCTTAAATTTGTGGGTTCAAGTACTACAGTAAGAGAAGATGGCTCCATTTTACTTCAGTTTTTGGAGCTGGGGAAAATGCAATTTCCCCCTGAAATCCATGGACAGGAGCAGGACCAGCCCCTACCTAGCACCCTTCAAAGTCACAAACATAGGTGGGGTAGCATCCTCAGGCCCCTCAAAGACAACTCCTCACATTCATGTAACCAAGACTTAAACCTAAAGGATAATCCAGTCAGAGTGTACCCCAGTAAGACCAGCTAAATGCTGTGGCTACTGAGTATCCAGCCAGTGAGAAGGGGAAAATGAGGGTCGGTGTGCCCGCCTCTCTCAACAGCTTTGAAGTTAAACACACTTGGTGAGGAAGGAGGAGGTAAGGAGACGGTACTTACTTTCTATCTTAGAAATTGGTTCAGGTAATGGACAAAAAGACGGAAGCCCCGCTTAATGGCCCACTCCACATTGCCCTCCAAACAAGGCTTCGTCAGACATACAAAGGAGAGATTGGATGAGGCAGAAAACACTTAGCCTCTCTCAGACACACACTGTGCCAACACACTGAAGACTGCTTCTTCTTACCCACAGTGACAGTATGTCATTTAATCAGGTTGCCAGGATCATTTTCATACAAGGCCAGCAGATGTAATTTCCTCTGATGCATGAATAGTTCATCATTTTGCTACTGGGTGACAAGGTGATCACAGGGTGACTTTATAACGCAAGTTCACTGTTTGGTATTTTGAGTTCTCAAAATGAAAAAAAGATTTATCAAATATAAATATCTTTAAAAAGTAACAAAAGTGCTACATATGTGATCAAGGAAAAAAATTCCATTAGTTACTGCCGCTTAAAGTAGATTAAACTACAAATATTACCACATCCATTATCAATATGGCTTCCAATTATTAAATAAATTGCCTGTAGCAATATAGCTTTCACACCTCCACAAGGACAGAGTAAAGGGAACAAAGCAGACACATCCTGCTGTGTCCCACACACTCACGACATAAGTGGTAAATGACCCCTGCTTCTTCTGCCCCTAGCTAGGCAAGGATCTGCATCTGTGACAGCCGAGTCGGCACAGTCCTCAATACAGTCCTAGCAACTCTGGGTAGGCTTCAGGTGATGGTTACAAAGCCTGATCTTTCACCCACTTTTGACCTCACCTCTATCCTTAGAGACTTTTTTGGTAGTAGGTTGGGGGCACCAAAAGGAGGCAAAGCAACTTGCACGGTGTCTCCAGCACTTTCCCAGGCAGGCGCTGGTACCGTGCTGTGGAATGTATAGTGGCTCTGAGAACTAGGCTTAGCAGCCATCCGACATTCAGCTCATGCTTCCCCTACTGCTTGCTCTCAAGCTGGGTTTTGCTTTTCAGAACTTTTTTTTTTTTTTTTTTTTTTTTGTCTTTTTTGTTTTAGGATTGTGGTCCCAAAGGCAGAAGGCAGTATGTTATCTACTAAGTCACACAGCTTGTGAGAGGAAAGGATGTCTGTGTTAGGCATGTTAACATTAACCAAGATCTGAGCTCGGGATTCCAATGACATTCTTAGCACAGCACCCAAAGGAGGATAGTCTAGCCACGCTGTGACTAGGAGGCACGGCTTATTGCAGCTGAATCAATGAATCTCCGGCTGAGGCGGGGCTCTAGTGTTCCTTGCGCTCCGTGGATACTTCCCGGATGGTGTCTGTCGGTCCTGTGCCACTACCTCAGCTTGCATCCTGTCAGTCTTGGGGCAGGAACGGGGTACAGCCTAGTGTTACATGAATCTAAAGGTACCCAAGATTTTACACAGAGCCTAATATTTGAGAACTGAGGGTTATCTAAATACCTGGAAGCACTTTCTTGGAATGCTAAGACGGAGCAGCAAGATTTTTTTAGCCTCAGGGGCTGGGAGAGGGATGTTTGGTTGGTTGGTTGGTTATTACTTACTGGGATTTTAATACTGAGAGAGTATATGCAAAGGCTGAGGGCACCATGCCATCTTCACAGAACAAGACCCTAACAGCTACCTGACATACAAGAAACTGTAAGTTATACTGTAAGAACACATGTTAAGGACCGAGGAAAGTCTGCTAAGGTGCTACGTCTAAACTAAGTTAACTGTGTGATCCTCCCTGATCAGTCATCATCCAGGGCCTCTGTCTTGATCTCATTGGCTCCCTGCCGGGCCAATGCCAAGATAGTGTGGTTGACGGCTGCCATCTCCACAGCTAGTGAGATGGGATCTTGGTGGTCACTATGGCTCGTGCTGTCATCCTAGATGTGTAGAAATAAGAAATGAATGTTATTCGTTGGCAGGTAACAATTCTCAAGCTCACAAAAAGGCATGCAGGGTGCCGTGCAGGGGACAGAGCATCTGTGGAGGAAATTTCCGAGTGCATCTCATGGTGGAGTGAGTTGTATTTAAGTAGACACTGAATGGACATGGGTCCAGAGACTTCCAATGTTTTTGTGACTCAACAAATAAAAAGGATGAAAATTATAGGTTTTGTTCTTTCTTCACTGAGAATTTATTTATTCTACCAAAAACTTGCTAGTGGTGATCAAACCTGAAGTGATTAAAATAAACTAGTAATTTGGGTTTTTCTGTTTGCCACAGATATAACAGTAATCACTGAAACCAAACTAGTACTCTCTCCTAATTCCACAAAGCTCTTAAGTGGCTACTGGAATCCATGGTGTGTCACTGCTGAGACAAGTAAAGAAGACTGAGAAGTACAGGCACTTACACCTTGTAAGTCAGGGAGGTCCCTCAGTTACACAAGTTACACTGTCCCGTTAGAGCTAAGTGAAGCTCTCCACCCTCTCTAAGCTCCACAATTAGACAGGAAAGCTGCTAACAGGCTTAGTGGCACATGTCTGTATCCCCAGCACTCCCAGGCTGAGGCAGGAGACTGACTGCAAGTTCCAAAACCAAACCAAACCAAACCCATACAACAGAGGAATGAAGCTGTGAAGGACGCTGTCCTTCCAGGGTGTGTGTTGAGCTCTGAAGGTGCTATCACAGAGAGGGGTGTTTCTCACCTGTCACATCTTCAGGGGACTCTGTACCAAAGAGCTTTGGAAAGGGTAAGTCCCTTGGGGGAAAAAGCATAGGATGTGCTGCCCCCAGGGCATCTGCAAAAAAAGATGGAAATGATCCATCTATGTGGGTCAGCTGAAAAATAACAGGAATGTTCCTGACAGAGATACAGAGCACTCTCCTGAGCCAAGGGTGGAGCAGTGCTTGGAGAACCGACTCTCTGGGGGAGATAATCTTCTGGGACACATGGGTGCTACTGTTTCCTTCTGGCTCTTAGACATCAGCCTTTAGGACTTAGGAAGGAATCTGCAGAGAATCGCATACCCCTCTGGAGTTTTGGGGTACACAGAGGAAATGAAATACCAAGAGAATGAAGAGCATGGCATACTGAGGGACAAAGAGACCACAAGAAGAAAGAGCAAATGCTTTCTTGCCAGAGTCTAGGGAAGGGATTATGTGTGTGTTCTCTGAATTTCCCAAATGGAAATAAAACTTAGATCCTATAGAAAATGTTAATGAAATCTGTCAACATGTTTGTGGGTAGAGGGGAACACCCCCAATTGTACTTGTTGACTTATTCCATGCAGTGGCTACAGTTAAATACACGTTCCCCAAGCAATGCAGGACACACCAGGATGGGATGAGAAGACATGCAGGTATTGCATTTGTGACAAGATGAGTGTGTCAATATCCAGAGAGACTCTGGTTAACCACTCCTCTGAGCATGAGGGCTCCCAGTGAAATGGGGCAGGAGTGGGCGGGGCCTTATGTTGCACCCTGCATGGTCCATATGTAGGCACCGTCACCGCTGCCCGCGTGCCCCTAAGTGCTTCTCAAACACTGTGTGTGTGGTAAGTGGTTAACTTGCTTGTTTGGGTCAGATCCTCCTCTCTTCTTCTACCTTCTCTGCTTCTCTGCCTCCCTCTGAACTTCTTCCCTCCTCCTCCTCCCCATTGCGTGCTTGCCAAGTGTCCTGTTGTGTGACAATAAACCCATAGGGGTGGATAGAGATTACTCACAGATTTAACAGGACAACAGAATCTTACCACATGAAAATCTAACTAGACACATGAGCAGAGTGGAGGGACACCCACAGTTCCCTCCACCTCCCCGCACAACCACACCCACGGACTTGAGTTGCCATACTGCCCCACCACCCTGTAACGAGAAGCCTCCGCTCTGCCACCCACCTGCTCGGAGTAGTCGTTCCCATCCACGTCATCACTGTTGGAATGGCCTCCTGGACTCTGTACATCTATCCCATGACTCTCCAGGATTGCTGCTTCTTCGAAAAAAGCAAATAGATCCCTAAATTATCTGCTGCCTCATCACAGTGGCTGAACCATGATTTTTATGGTAAGGAAGTCAGAACATAGTTAATCTGTTTCTAATCATCTTTAAATGGGAGAAATTCAACTCTGTGTGGCTCAGCGTAGAGGCCCGGCTTCCACACACTACCAACCTGGACTGGTGGGCACTTCATTAAACTTATTAAGTCAATAGCTGTCCTGGTGGGGCTGTATAGAGCAAATGGGAATTGGCTTGACCAGTAAGAAGTACATTCACAAACGAAATGCAATCATACTTCTTGTGGTGCTGGGGATCAAACCCAGGTCCTTTCTGTCACTGTGCTATCCCAGGCCTTGAAAAACAACTACAGAAGCTTAAATGAACCTTTTACTCCTACACCATCCACTCAAATCTCACTTTACTAGTTTTGAATAGTACAAAATCCTGTCTTTTCTTCTTTTTCAGTTGAATGCACATTTTTCCCTTCAGGCACTTGACATGGTCTTCCTATCTCCAGCTTTATCAAGTTATTGTTGGCTAGTGGATACTTTGTTTATGGTGTACTGCACAGTGTATAGCAATATGTATACACTGTGAACTGACTAAACCCAACATTAGATTTCTGAAATGCTCTTTATTGCCACTTTTTCTTCTTGTCTGCTAAATCTCTTCCATTCCAGCAGATGTTTCTCAGTGTCTAGGTCACAGTCGCAGCAGCAACCAGCAGGCTGGGAGCATCAAAATTCCTCTCTTAAGACCCCACAGAAATCCTTAATATTAGCCACACGAGTAACCCGTTGCTCAGGGGTTAATTCTACAATCTAGAACATTAAGAACAATCATTTAATAACAGAGTTGTTATTAAAGTATAAATAAAAAAGTTCAGGTAACACTGATCTTGCTATTAAAAAGGCAACAAAGAAAAGCAATGGTGCTTCTAGTCGAAACTAATTGTGCAATCACTTAGACCCGCAGCTCATAAACTGGACACTCTTATCCCATTTCTAACCTTCTCATGAGAGAAAGTAGTCTCTCTGATACATTACCGATATTGGCTCTCCTCTTGATCTCCTTCCGTCTATTAGCGAACCAATTATAGACTTTCAGAGAGGTAACTCGTTCCAGGTCGGACAGCTTTTTGCCTGTGAATACATGCAAAAAAAATTCAGATAATCTGTATCTTAGATCCAAGACTGAACTGTTCTCAAGAAATATATCTCTGCTAAAAGTTGCTTTTTATTCTATTTATTGCCAAAATAACAGATGGGATGGAATCTTTTTTTTTTTTACATTGCTTAGTACTAAGAACCCACTAAAATTATTACTGCATCAACAAACACACAAATGAATATATAGCTAGCCACAACTCAGGGAGACACACTCAATCTTAAAAAATCCCACAAAGTCCGTTTACTAGGGTTCCAGATCAAATCGTAGTTCCCAGATTAGTACCACGGAGGTGTCATTTAATTAGCATCATTGAGAGGGATGTTATCCTTTATGGAAGTGTACAGATAACATAAAATGACTTCTTAGTTTCCTAGTCTCTTAACATACATGTTATACCTTATGTAAGATAAGAGATACATGCTGTGTTGAAGGCGAATGGCCATGTGATTGTTCTGTAATACACAGTACCACTCAGGGTAGAGTTTAGATTTACTGTCTTCTCAGCCATCACAGTTAATTATTATGGAGATACCATACTAACATGTAAGCAGCCATCTGCACTGCCCCCTGCTCTCCTGTCCTCTTGTTTTCAACTTTTAATCTGTATTTGTTTTCCAGAGGGAGCCAATCCCTGCACTGAGACTGTAGGCCTATTCACCCAAGGTACAGACTCCTCTCGCCTGAGGGTAGAGCCGAGCATGTAGGTAGATATCACCGGAGGCTGGCTTTCTAAAGGAGACTAATCCCCCTTCACTGTATGAAACTCTGATATTCACATAGTCTTTAAGCCATCAAAACAAGTGGCCATGCAGAAACTAGCTGCTTGTGTCTAGTCTCTGAAGTACACAGGGGATAAGACACATAGGAAGTACCAGAGTGGCTGCAAACCCCCACGGAGACTTCAAAAGGGAACCACCATGTTCTCTTAGCCAGGCAGAAGTCATCCCAATGTGAAAAGCCCCAACCCCCAAAAGCTGCCCCACAAAGAAATAAAGACCGTGCAGTTTTATAGCAACTGTGAAGAAAATGGTTTTACATTCTTTAACTAACAAAATTCGCTTGAATTTTCACACTTTATCATTATTTCAGAATTGATAAGTTTATGCTAAATTTTGGAAAAACAAATCCATAATTTAAAAAACCTTTCAAGGCCTCAAGTGTCATGGAGAGTCATTGTGTGTGAGCACTTCAGTCACGCCACATTAACATCAGGAGTACTATCTGGAGAACACTGGCTGGGACCTGCATTAGGAGGGCGAGTGTCCAGACCACTGAGTGTAAGTGAACATTGCCCTCTGAGCTCACCTCCTTACCTGGCTTCTGTATGACTGCATTGCAAGCGTTGGCAATCTCTTCTCTCTTTGCTTCATCTGGGTATTGATTCTCATTGAAGTAACTGCAGGGGCAACCAACAAAGACACATTTTACTTTAAAATGTACCCATTAAAAGGTCTTCTTTAAGATGTGACTTGGTATAGTTCAGGATGGCCACAAAAACTTCCTGGAGAAAGCCAATGTAAGACCTATTTACCTTTTACTTAACTGAACTTACTGTATGTGACTGGTGGCTACGTGCTATTGTGCCTCTAAGATAAGTTATTTTTTTAATGAATCCACCTGGTGATAACCATCTTAACTCAATTAAGCTAGTCTTAGAAACATATTATGCTTATTCTCATGAGTGGTTCCTAGATTTTATATCGACATAAAATTGTGGATGTGTGTAAGACATGATTTCAGAAGTAAAACTAATCAGGAAGCAAGAGGAATAATGGGAGGGGAGAGCTAAGAGGAGGGAGGGAGTGAGGGGGAGAGGTAAGGGGTATGGACAATGGTGTACATGACTGACCAAAGTCACAGAGCAACAAGAGCCATGCCACTAAAGCACTGGTATCAACACGGCTTTTTCTCTTTTGGTCATTTTTTTTTTTTTTTTAATAGTAGCAAAAACTGGAAATTACCCAATTATCCACAAACAAGGGATGACAGAACAAATTATGTGGTATCTATATTTATACACAGCTTTTTTAAAACAACTAGGAAGGAAATAAGTTAGCACTCTGTCTACTGACCTGAATGGATGTTTATAGCATATTCCTAAGTGAGAAAAACAATCTGCAAAATAATGTACAAGCAAAAAAAACGCCAAGAATTAGAAGATCCCTGTCTGCATGTGTGTTGTTTCACATGGGTAAAAGTGAAGAATACACATCAGGCTGAGAACACCCACCGCTCACTGTTGAAGAAGGGGCGTAGTGGGATACTGACACATTTTGTTTTTGTATGTTACGAAGTAGATTATTACTTTGGTTCAACGGTATTTAATACATGAGGCTTATAAAATCTGTTGTTAGATCAAGCAGACTCATAAAAGGTAGATGGGAACAGAATGCTATTATTAGTGCTACTTTTTCTGACACCTATGAACTTAAAGAAAAAGAGAACTTTCACACCTTGAGCCTGGAAAGTGACAATGAGGCAATGACCGTTGGATTTTAGTACCTACCATTTCTTCAGGACCACCCCTTTCCTGAAAATCCGCCACTCTGCGATGGCAGAAAGACCACTCATTGCACAAATGCCTCAGAGGCTCCTTTCCTCCTAAGAGCTCCAACCTGACCCCTGCTGCCTTCTCCTCCCTTGAGGTCTCTATATGGAAGGCACACCTTCACTTCAGTCTGGGTAGAGCTGCTGCCTCGCTTCTCGATCTTCTATAAGCCTCCCAACCATACGCTCCCACTCTTGTCTTTGACCATGTTCTACGTGGTTCCTTGCTGTTTCTCTCAGTGTAAGGATCTCCTCCTGCATGGTCCGAGGAGTGCCAGTGTTCAGTCTAAGTCACCATGCTCACAGGGGCTCCAGGTCCATTTGGTCTTGGCTTCTGTGTTTACTTGAACTAACTTCTGGTTAGGTCATGGCAGCAGCATACAGCTTCACCTGGAGCAAACTCAGTAACCAGAATGCACACTAACATCTGAAATCTCACCCAACTTACTCATTTACCCCCCAATTCACCAAGTAGATATGAATTACCTAATATGTGCTTGGCAATGTGGGTAAAGAATTGGTTTCTGGTATCAAGGAGCTCACAATCTACTTGAGAGAGATATTCATAAATGTACTTATAGTGAAAGGCCATAGGATTTGTGGACAGTTTGGTATGCCCAGTTGTGGGAGGAGTCTGCAAAGATGTCATAGGCAAGTCTGAGCTAGGTCTTGAGGACTGGTACTGTCAGGCAGGGATGGCAGATGAGGCCATGAGAACCCTGGGCACTGAGAGGAGTACAGTGTGTTAAGAGCATGGGCTTCGTAGGATGATGCGATGAGATCAGTGCTAGTGCCTATCACTTCTTCAGAGGGGGAGGGAGCAAGCTTGCAATGTACTTGTCTGTCCTCTAAGGATGAAGGACCAGCCATTGAAATCATTGGAGAGCCTGAGAGGTTTCCATACAACAGAAATATAATTCTACATGTGCTTTACAGGAAGATAACACATCTTCAAACATAATGGTCTGAATTCTATCTCCATGACCTTAAATTCTGAATTCTCTAGGCAACTTCATACATACCTACATCTCTTCAAACTTTATTCTTCATCTTCTCAGCAATACTAATCCTGTAACTGTTTCCCTTCCCCTAAGTAAAAAAATAAATGTCTACTGTGTCTAGCCCTATCCCTTACTTCTTGCCCGAATGACAGACAAATGAGACTTGTCTGAGAGGAACCAGCACTGATGAGTTTTTCTGTTCTGCGTTCCTGCCCTGCCAATCTCCCACGCTGCAGACAGCACCTTCCATTTTTATTCCCATCCTTCACAGAGTACCAAGTGTGCCTGAACACCACAAAACAGAGCCAACTGGTTTCCTTCCTCTGCAATCTGAACTGGCCCCTTTGTTTCTGACAGGAGTTCTATCATGCTTCCCTCCTCCGAAACCTTTTCACTCTGATGTCTCCAGCCCTCAAAGCCACCACTGTCACTCTTTCTGCAGATGACCTTGCCTTTGTGGTTATTGGTTTGCTAGATTTTTTAGCTTCTGAACTGCTAAACTTCTCCAGGCCATTATTCATTTCTTTTCTCATAGCCGAGAAAACATAAATCATCCCCCTTTTCAAGGTCAACTTCTCTACTTGTCCTTGATTGTATCCACTCTCCTCTTCATTTCCTCAGATTCTTTCTTGCATTTCTCGGCTCTTCTCTGTACCAATGTAAAGATCTTATTTCACAGATTTTATCACGCACATTTCTTCATTACTGTGATCTTTGAAATCAGGACACATTTCCTAACTGTCAAGATCTTGAAATTAAATGGCAGTGCTTTGCTTTTTCCTCTCTCACTGGCGTGAACAATAAGGTGTGCCTTACAATCAAGGCTTTGTCAGACTGGACAGAATACAGTGACTAAGACCTAAGGCCCCATCTAAGTGACAGCTCTATGGCCAGTACACCTTATAATTTTTTGGTCAAATGACCTGAAAGCCCATGACTGATTGATACTCCTGACACATTACTTAGGTTACATCAGTGTCTTGTTCAAATGTTTTCAAAGGTTTACTATGGAGGCTCAGGACACACACACACACACACACACACACACACACACACACACACACCTACCTACCTACCTACCTACCTACCTACCTACCTACCTACCTGTGCTGTGGGCTGCCATATAAGTAGAAAGAGAGTAAGCCAGGACATTCCTCTAGTGCCAATCTGGTCTATCCCCCAGGGCACCCCGAGAAATGAGTTTTCTTTCCCCACTGAGTCCTACAGGAGCTCATCTATTCCTTCCTCACAGCTCTTCCATCTCGTACCTCCTCCTCCACAGAAAAGCACCTGGAGCTGGGTTGCAGATCAGACTCCACCTCAGCTGTCTCACAGATGCTGGGGTCACAGGCGTGTACGGCTAAGCCCTACACATACCACACACAGCTGTCAGAGGCCTTTATCTCTGCTGAGCAAGAACTATTCATAGAACAGGAAATAAAATGCTGGTGACATGGCTGGCTTCCACAATCTGCTTCATAGAATTCTCTGCAGGGTTTTCAAAAAGAATGGGCACCATTCTTACAATAAAAGGACCTTAGGGAAACTCTGAAATAATTAAGAACTAGTTTGATGATTCATACAATTCTGTCAACAATTTATGCCCTAAAAGTGGACTGGGATCAGGTAGAGAGCGTTAGTGTTTTGACTGCAGTCTCCCTGCAGAAAAAAAGCCATACTGGGTTTAGAAGCTAAATTAAAATTTTCAGTTACTCATGGCACAATGTTTTCTATTAAGTCAAAGTTTTAGAGTTCGCTTTTACTCAGAATTTCTAGGGTTTAACTTCATATAATGAAGATCAGAGTAAAGAAGATCCCAGTAACTTCTCCAAAATCAAGATCTCAGGAAAAAGAGAATTTGTTCATATAGTGGAAGCCTTATTTTTAAAAAAGTACTCTTTACTCCTCTATTAAAAAACTGTTGTTGTTTTTTAAATTAAGTGTATGAATGTTTGCCCTACATATATGTCTGTGCACCACATATGTGCAGTACTCACAGAGATCAGAAGAGGGTGGTAGATCCCCTGGAACTAGAGTTACAGATGGTTGTGAGTCACCATGTGGGGGCTGGGAATTGAGCCTGGGTCCCCTGGAAGAGCAGCCAGTGCTCTTAACTGCTGAGCCATAACTTCAGTCTCTAGTGTTTATGATTAAGAATGTTCTGCTCAGCCTCACTGCTGAGCTCTGGCTAATATTTAAAGAATTAACAATAATAAATCATTTCAAAATCTGAAGAGAAAAGTTTTTCTAAATTCATTTTACAAGACTTGCACTGTCCCAATACCCTGGTGACCAGAGACGGGGGGTGGGGGGGAGGTGGGGGGGGATGATGATTCATCAGCTAACACATTAAAGACTATTCATCACAACCAAGTAGCAGATATACCAGGGATAAGAGGGTCAACACGCACAAATCCCTGAGCATGTCATAGCCTCCCACAGTGTGAAGGACAAAAGCTGTACGATCATCTCACTGGATGTATGAAAGAAATCTGATTAAGATTCCAATACTCCTTCATGTCTGGTACTTATCATTTCTTCAACAGGAGATGAATAAGCCTGTGATAATGGATCAGGTCTTACTCATCACTCTTCATGGGGGCCTTGGGTCTTAGCTAGCAACCACTGTATTCCATCCAGTCTAATAAAGCTTTGGTTGTAAGCAGAAGAATGAACTGGACATCACTATCACCAGTTAAAACAATACTCAAAATTAAATATAAGACTTGAAGACAAAAGAACATTAGAAGGAAAATTATAAAGTGCTTTGGTCAGAATGAACAAGGATTTCCTGGACAAGAACCCCCCCCCCCCCAATACTACAGGAAGTAACAACAGAGTGAAGAGA